GTTCCCCACAGTGTTGGGAAATAAAATTGTTCCTTCAGTACGAAATCTATACAAAAACTGTACTTTTCGACTGTAAATTGTATCGACTTTTTAATTTGCTCATATGCATGCATGTATACATAGATTCCCTTCTAGACCAATGATTTGATGGTATTCACGGGAAAGTTTATGTAGGTACATTTACATATTTTACACTTTTAACATAAATGTCAAGGCAGATATTTTAAGATACACTTCTTAATAAACAAACTTTTTTTAAGTTATTATGAATGGAAAAAGAGGCATCATCTTTGATTTCAGTACTAAAACTACATTTCAAGTGCTTATCAAAACTTTATACATGTTAACTAGATTCGCCACTTATCTTAAAATTATATAATTTTAATTATTTGTTTATAAAAATGCAGTTTACACTTTAACAAAACCCGTATAAATCCAAAGTTTAATCTTTGCGCAACATTAAAAAAATCAACAAACTTTCGTAAAGCTTTTTGATTAGATTTCCTAGAAATACATATTTTGAGTATGCAGTTTTGTAGCCCGATCAATTCAAATAAAGCGCAAGTTTAAAATACATAGCTGCGACTAATCGTTGATTTTTAATATATATATATATATTTTTTTGATGAAGGCGTTGCTCATTTTCTTCATTAAAAACATCGTCGAACATACTTAGATAATATGGAAGAAAATTACCGACATCGTCAAAAATATGCCATATGTCAACTGTACAGCTACTTTAAATTTGCACTGAATGAGCTAAAAAACTGCAAAATATTAAGAGATAAAATTGAAATAGAAAGTTCGAAATTTTTACGAATGTTTGTAGATTTTTTTTTAATGTTGTTCAAAGATTAAACTTATTTTCATTTAGTATTTGTTAAGGAATAACTATATTTTTATAAACAAATAATTCAAATTAAAATATAATAAAATAAATAGTCAAATCTAGTCAATATGTGATTGTAAAGTTATGATTTTTAAGAACATCTCTTTCTTAATTAAAGATGACACTGTTTCTATGTGAAGCTGATTTCGACATTTTATTTTAATAAAATTTAGTATCGAAAATATTCTTTCAAAAGTTGCCTAGGAATGTGATATAATGGTTCGTTCAAAACCTTTTTTCAAAACTTATAAAGGCAAAAACGAGAAGGCGAAAAGAGAATAAAAAAATTTCCCGCAGTGAATTTTCAGATTTTTAAAGGGGTATAGTAATTTAATTTTTTAAATTTAAATAAAGCATAAGACCCCATGGAATAAACGAGTAGATAAAAAAAATATATAACGGTAAAACTGGCACATACATAAATATATGAAAGAATGCACTCAGGCGACGCCTCTAGCCATTGTGTGTCACAGATTTAAGTTATCGAAGAAAATTTTTTTTTCATCCCCCCAAAGCCAAATCCTGGCTACGCCACTGATGTATGTACATACATACTTTACCGTTTCATAGTCGGAGCCAATGGGTCTACTATTTGCGAGAAAATTTTTTTTTGTTATTCTTGCTGTGTTCGTGCTTATTTACATATTTGCAATGGTCTTGTTGAAAAAATAACTTACATTTATGGCAATACATAGTGTGCGTGCCACCGGTCAGCTGTCAAAGTGACATTCCATTGAAATCAAACCAGACCGAAGTGCTCAACTTTCATTGAGTGCCCGTCAACACATAATAAATCCTCATTATATCTCTGAAGTATTCAAATTATTTTTTTAACGGTTATTGTGAAAAAGTTAAAGTTTTTTGCGCGATAAGTAATTACTTCTGTACACTGATGTCAGTGCACTGGAACTAAATTTGTAAATACTATTTACTCATCAAAATGTAAATAAAACATGTTCGTGAGAGAGATTTTGTATGCATTATTTTTTTTTTGTTTATCAATTTGGCCTTTCAATAAGAATAAGTTTTCAGACCAAAACGAATACAAATAAATGAAATAAATTTAGGTGACAAGTTTTGATAGTATTTTGCCAAATTTCCTTTTCAAATCTTACAAACTACCATTACATTTAAAATTTCTGCGGCAATGCTTAGAAGTTTTGTATTTTCTTTATATATATATTCATTTCAGTTGTTGCGGATGTCGGAATGGACAAGATTCCGAGCAGCAGGATCGCTGGATAACGTGCTGGGCAGGCGGTATAAAAAGACGAGTTCCAGAGCTGCACTGCCTTCGCTTCTCTGTATTTAAGTAATTACAATCCAGTAGGCTGTGTTCGGTCGGCAAGGACAAGTTTGAAAGCCGCACTGACACTGGTGTTGGGTAGTCGGTCTGAAAGGACGAGTTCCAGAGCCGAAATTGATTAAAAAAAAAATCTTTTCTTTTAATGTTATTATAGGCTTGGTTGATCTATCATGTGCAAGTGCAAGTGAAAACTCTCGGTTTCTGCTTCACTTTATGCCCAACGTTTCGCTAACGTTCTTAGCTTCAGGGGCGGAAATCTTTATTGAAAAAACAACAAAAACATTTTTACAATTATAAAACATTAGACAAAAACAAACATATTTTATATGACAATCACATTTGTTGTGAGGAGTTGAAATTTATATCTATAGTGTGTATGAATATACATGTATACCAAAAACTAACAAAACTTACAAGCAATAATAAATGAACACTTGTCTTAAAAACTATTCATCGGTACCAGCTGCTTGGGGTACACTTGTCGTACTGACTGTGTTTTGTAAACACAGTAAGTAAGTAGCCGCAATGTCGTTAGTGTCTTCTTTCTTGTTGACTGTTCTTTCTCTTTTTTGCATTATGCGGAGGCTCTCTAGCGTGTATCGTATTTTTTCTCTGTTTTCTCTGTCTAATATCTTTGTATTAGCTAGGTCAGCTGTGTGACCGCTCGTTAGTATATGTTGTGCTAATGCCGTGTTATTTTTCTTTTTTCTTATATCCGCATCGTGTTCTGATAATCGTGTGCTTAGTGATCGCTTTGTTGTCCCTATGTAGATTTTGTTGCACTCTTCGTTTTGTTTACCTTGGCATTTTATTTCGTATACAATGTTGCTTTGTTGTTGCGGTTCAATCGGACTTTTTGTTCTTGTAAATATCGTTGACAAAGTGCAATTTGACTTGTATGCTAGAGTTATGTTTGGCTTGTTTTTCTTTATCGTTTGGGGAAGTTTGCCGGTCAATTTGGGGACATATGTGACACTATAGAATTGTTTTGTCTCAGTGTTTGCTACTGCGGAAGTGTTATTGTGCTGCTTGTTTATTTTCATGAGTGCCTGTTCAATTAAATTTTTAGTCATGTGTATCGGATAGTTGTTACGTTTGAGTATCTCATGTATTTTCCCTACGTTTTCGTCTCTAAACCTTTGGTGACTTATGGTAAGTATTTTCGTAACAAGATTTCTCGCGGTGTTGATTTTGTATTTCAAAGGTTGAGCAGATAGGAAGTTTATTATGCGTCCCGATGAAATGGGTTTGGAGTACCAGTTAAGTAATATTTTCTCCTTTTCTCTGTGGATACGAACGTCTAAAAAGGGTATGCTGAGGTTTCTCTCTGTTTCCATTGTAAATTGCAGCTTTTCATGATACTTGTTTAGAGTCTTTAAAATTATTTCTACGTCGTTTCGTCTAACAATTGCAAAGACGTCGTCCACATATTTCACTATGAGTTTGATTTTTATATTATGCAGCCCCTTTAGTTCTGTTAAAGTTTTATCCAGCAGGTCATCCATGATTATGTCTGCGATTGTAGGTGATAAAGGGTTACCCATTGGCATTCCGAATGTTTGTGTGTACATATGGTTTTCATACATAAAATAGTTATTGTCTTTTAAACAGAATATCAGAATGTTGTGGAAGGTGCTTCTTGGTATGTGAATTTTCTGCTGTATTTTGTCAAACTTTCTCATAATAAGTTGTATTGCTAAATTTGTTGGTATATTTGTGAAGAGTGACACTACATCAAACGACACTAACAATTCTTCCTCGTCTATGCATATGTTTTGCAGTCTGTCTTTCAATCTGAACGCATTTTTTATATTGTATTCCTCTGAAGTTAAACTACTTAGAATAGTGCCAATAAATTTTGACAGGCCATAACAAGGGACATGTAATGATGACGCTATTGGTCGTAGAGGTATGTTTGGTTTATGTATTTTAGGTAGGCCGTAGAGGCGGGGGGCAGTTGCCGCGCTGCAAGTAAGCAATTGTTTTTCTCTCCAACTGATAATTTTGTTTTTGTACAGTTGATTGACTATATTGTTATTCTTTTTCTGCAGAGTGTTCGTTGGGTCATTCCTAAGCTTTCTGTACGTATTTTTGTCTTCCAGCAATTCCTTCATTTTTTCTCTGTAGTCTTTTTTGTAAATTACTACGGTTTTGTTACCCTTATCCGAATCTGTGATAATAATTTCGTGCTTATGTTTTTGCAAAAATGCTTTGGTTTTATTGAAAACTGCCACTATAAATTTCTCCGCTGTATTGTTTTTGATGTTCCGTCTGAATTGCATAATTCTATTGCTTAATTTGCTCCTTTCTATTTCTTTGTCTCTTTCATCCTCTATCTGTTGTATTATTTGCTCCATCTCCGCGATCATCTTGATTGGGTCGAGAGTAGTTTTTGTTGTAGGTAGCGCGAACTTCCTCCCTAGAGAGAGTAACCACTTCACCTCCTCTGGAAAATCGATGTTTGTTTTGTTTATAAACCACTCACTGTTGACGCATATTCCTAAAAATTGCAATTGTTTATGTTTTAGTCTTTCTAGTTTCGCTGTTTGTATTGATTCTCGTTCCTTCGTTATTCTCTGGCTTAGGAAATTTTGGTGAGAAATTGTAGAGTTGAATTCAGTTTCGTTGAGAATGCGTACTAGTTTTCGCTCCGCGTAATTTATGTGATCTCTTGTTGTTTTAATGTTCATGTTTGTTTGTGTAATCTCTATGTTGAGTATTCTTTTAAGGTACGATCGTTTTGTTGTTTCAATTTGTTGCTTTATTTTTTGAGATGTCGTGGCTATCGTTGTTTTAACTACGTTGTTTGCCAGATGGTTTGGTATGAGGTCATACTTTCTACATTCTAATAGGAATTTTAGTTGTGCTCTTTGCTTTGCTAGCTTTTGGGTTTGTTTACTGTAATATTTTAATGTTGTGCACGTATCTTCTCCGTATTTATATTTCATATGTTGGTAGTAGTGCTTCATTTTTGTTGTTTTTTGTGTGTATGGTGTTGAATAAAACGATTTTATCGGCAGGCCTTCCGAAAAGATAAATTCTTCTTTTGTATGCTGATCAATTTGGTATAGATTTTTAATGTTATTGTAGGCTTGGTTGATCTATCATGTGCAAGTGCAAGTGAAAACTCTCGGTTTCTGCTTCACTTTATGCCCAACGTTTCGCTAACGTTCTTAGCTTCATCAGGGGCGGAAATCTTTATTGAAAAAACAACAAAAACATTTTTAAAATTATAAAACATGAGACAAAAACAAACATATTTTATATGACAATCACATTTGTTGTGAGGAGTTGAAATTTATATCTATAGTGTATGTATACCAAAAACTAACAAAACTTACAAGCAATAAAAAAAAAATCCCGGGCTAAGAAGATCTCTCGCTAGTCGATTTGGATGGTTCGTTAACCGTGCTGAGTAACTGGTGCTTAGCCCTCTTATTTCTTCATGCACCGTATTTACAAATGTGGATATTCGTATTTTGCATGTACCATGGTGCCTCGCATAAGGCGCACAAAATTTTCCACAGCAGTATTTGAAGTCTATTCAAAATTGAATTGCACGCTGTGCCCCAAAGCCCGATTCCATATGCCCAACATGGTTTAATCATCATATTAAAAATCAACATCTTGTTATCTAGGCTTCATTTAGATTTGTGTCCCATTGAAGGCTTGCTTGTTTTAGTTTCGCTTGAGATTTTTTTTTCTATATGCTTTTTCCAGGTAAGTCGTCTATCTAGTGTCATCCCAAGGTACTTGTGGTATAGCCTTGCTGTTTATTTTTAGTTGTGGGCAAGTTTCTTTCTCCAAAGTGAATGTTGTCTTAACACACTTGCTTTCGTTAACCTTTATCCTTCAAGAACCTAGCCATAGCTCTAACTTTTTTTGCCTGACTCTGAAGTTTCTCCCCAGCAGAATGCTTTCCAGAATTGCGTGCGTATTTGGAGGGAGTGAAACCTTTAGTTTGTATATAAGGCCATCATGCCAGACTTTGTCAAAAGCTACACCGGTGCAGTATTGCTTCCCCTCGAAGGCTCTTCTAATACAAGAAATAATTCTTTGAATTTGTTCTACAGTGCCATGCTTTACACTAAAACTAAACTGATACGGTGGTATTATTTGGTTACTTGTTGGAGAAGGTTATATTTTTTCAATAGAAGTTTTTCGAATATTTTCGAAAATACAGAAATCAAGCTTATGGGCCGATATGAATTTACTACCGTCGGATCTTTGCCTGGTTTTGGCACCATAATTATTCCCGAAAGTTTCCATAAGTCGGGGAAGTGCCCCAACTTAAGCATGTTATTAAAAATATGTAACAAAAAACGTACGGCAGTTTGTGGAAATTCCTTATTGTTTCAGCTGAAATCCTATCGTAACTAGGCGCTTTATTCTTCTGAATGTCATGAACAATGGTGTTAATTATCAATATCAATAGCGTACTTATGCGAAAAGTGGTACTGCTTTGAAGAGAAAATGACCTCACTCGAGAGAAGTTGTTTTGTCAAAAGTCCACAGATATGTTATCAATAGCTTACTTACGGCAAAACGTGGTAAATTTAGGAAAGGGGACCTGGCACCTCCCGTACAAACAGAAATTCTTATATCGCTTATCTCTTGAACCGCTTATGCTAACGTCCTGACATTTGACAAAGCTACATATATATGTTATAAATACCTTACTTATGGCGAAAACTGGTAGGTTTTGGAAAAGGGGACGTGGCACAGCCCATGCAAACTGAAATTCTCATATCGCTTATCTCTGGAACTGCTTATGCTAAAATTCTGAGATTTGTCAGAGCTATTTATGATATCAATAGCGAACTTTTGGCAAAAAGTGGTAGGTATTGGAGAAGGGGGCGTGGCACCGGCCATGCAAATTGAAATTCTCATATCGCTTATCTCTGGTACCGCTTATGCTAAGGTCATGCAATTTTACACAGCAACGTATGTTATCAATTCCGAACTTACGGCAAAAAGTGGTAGATTTTGGAAAAGGGGGTTTGATACCTCCCATACAAACTGAAATCTAATGCTAAGGTCCTGAAATTTTACACAGCAACATGCGTTACTTAATACCGTACTTACGGCGAAAAGTGGTAGATTTTGGAAAAGGAGGCGTGGGACCTCTCATACAAACCGAGATTCTCATATCGCTTATCTCTGGTTCCGATTATGCTAACGTCCTTAAATTTGATTTGTTTGTCTTCCGTGCAGGGATTGAGAGCTAACTTTAAAAATCCTATTTATGGTCAGATTTTCTTCATCTTTAGAGCACATAATAGAAGAAGGATATACTATTTTTTTTTATACTTTCGAGGTACTTAACCTTTACCGATTCTGATGAAAAGAAACATGATTTGATGTAGATGTTGGCAGTTTAGGTTTTAACGTTCGAAGGGGCTCTCAGTGTAATATAATCTAAAAACGTATTTACAGTCTGAACTGATAAATGTTTAACATATTAGTCAGTGAAGAATCGTTACCCTGCAGTACGGGGGAGCGACTACAGGACTGATAAATCAGTAGCTACCTGGTAAACTCCGTCAATTACCGACCGACTATTTGCAGTGTATTTCAGCGATTACTTTTACCATCGGCTCTCTCTGCACTACCGGCAGTTCCTAAGGTAGTCACTTGCGTGATTTGTGGTAGAGATGGGCACGGGCCTAAATTTTCAGGCCCGGCCCGGCACGAGTGCAAAATCAACTTTCAAAAATACGCACGAGCCCGGAAATAAAGAGCCAACTTTTATTGTATGTATACATATGTACATATTTTTAATTTTGTGTTTATGTACATATGTATATTTACTTAAGCGAATCAATTTTTCACATCAAAGATTTTTATAATATATTTTCTGGGAAGTAGAAAAAGTGGAAGGTATTTTATGTACAGATATGTAAACAAAACTACTAAGTATCTTATTTTATCTATCGGTTTCCAAATATTTCTTTTTTTGCTTTTCTCTTATGAAAAGAGCTTTAATATGTACTTTTTTTATACCCGAGCGCACTTGTGCACAAGGGTATATTAATTTTGTTCACATAACGGTTGTTTGTAACAGCCAAAACGAATCGAGATAGATATAGACAAATGTATACATAAATGATCAGGATGAAAAAAGAAAT